CTGTTTCTGTTTATCAATTTAGGTTGTTCATTATTTCCCCTAGATGCATTAGATCATGTGTTACAAGAAATACCCTTAAAAGAACCGAAACTGAGACAAGCCATAATGGTTATGCTGAGAGGCAAAGGATCAGTCTATAGTAAGTTCCTTTCTGGGCCAACAGTTCTTTTGAGTCCCAATTTTAATGTCAAACAGTTCCTTATGTGTACATGTCAGCCATGATATTTCAAATCTGGTTGGTGGACAAATGGTGGTGATGCAGGTCCGACCATCTCTGATTTGGTTCTTGGCATCCTTCAGTGATGCACAGCTGCTGTCTGCTAGTATGGCAAGGCGTTGTCAGCATTTTCCATCTCTGGACTGTTTCTCTTCTGTCTTCATGGCTGGAGCAGTCCTGTCAATTCCTCTCTGTTGCAGGATTCCACATGGTTTCAGAGTTGTTTTCTGAAAATATACAAACATATTATAAAGGGATATTTTCTATAAATTTGACTTTGGACCCCTTTTCATTTTTTTCCCGCAAATGCTTTTCCTTTGACTAGTTTTGACACCATGTATGTTTTTCATGGGTATCTTGCTTGCTGTTACCATTTCAAATGAAAGTTAATTTTCTAAAGTACAAATTTTCTAGATGTAATTTACTCACTGAATAATTTTATGAGCTAAATATTTCTCAGATGTTTACCTTCTTTAGTAAGGCCTTCAGCATTTTGCTCTCCATAATTTGGCTCCTGCACATCTCACAAGCATTATGTCAGACACCTATTACTTTTTATGTTATATTCAAGTTACAGAAAATACATTTTAGTTCCACAAGGATACCTAAGGCATTGCTCATATAGATTTTTCTCTCCTATTTCTTTTCCAGCCATTATTACCTGACTCTTTCTACTCACCAAATGCATGCTTCTAAATTCTACCTGAATACAATGCACAAAACTCAGTCATAATGTTTGCCAAATGTATAAACTATATCTGTTTGTAGATTTATCTCCATTATACTTTACTGTGGGAGTATCAAGGTCATCTTTGCATGCCCAGAAATGTTATTACTTTAAAATTAATGTATTACCCAATACAAACTCAATATTATGTAATACTAACTCAAATTTAAAATTATTTCAATAAATATTTAACTTACCTTATAATACTTATTGCAAGTTTAATTTCCATTTAATAGAATAAAAGCAGAATTTTTGACAGTAACAGTGGTTGCTCAAGATAATAAAATAACTCCCAAGTGGAGTTTTAGTTGTCACCCTAAAACTGTATTCCCAGCTAAACTCCCCTTAAAGAATAGTCTTAGATAAAAATACTCTCTGAATATTTTAAAAAACAGAAGTCTTCCTTCTAGAAAACTTTAATAAATGTTTCATCAAAGTATTTATTTCACAAAGAAACATTTTTTCTAAAGGACCTGTATACCAAGGAGGTGGTTACACATGTGAGTAATTTCCAATAGGTCATCTGAATAAGGCACAAAACTATTGATATTGACTAACTTGCAGGTGAAAATCATAATAGAACTAAAATATTTGATAATAATACATAATATGGCAAGAGGTAGGATGCTGATGTCTTGTATTAATTGATAGTAGAGAGTTAACTGAGTTTACATTTTGTTAAAATTTATGGTAACTATCACAGAATATATGTAGAATATTGATCTTCTGGACCAGCAAACACAATATAAAATAATATAGAAAAACTTAACTGACTCAAAAAAAAACCATAGACATAGAGAGGTAATTGTTAAACTTGTAATCAGATGTTAACCAACTTCCAAATGTTCCTGTAAAAATAAGCTCAGTAATTAAAGATAGATTTTAGGTTGGGAAAACTCTATAAATGGAAATTTAATTTAATGCTAATTCTCCAGGAAGTACAGGGTCAGTGCATACCAAGAACCTCAAATTAATTTATTCTTTTAAACTAAATAATAACACTTCTAGTAACTTATCCAACTTATCCAAAAGAAATAATTATAAATGTAATCAAAGAAATATACACATACAAAGACACATGTAACATACACACAAAGCAATACTCTAAAGTCATTAAAATAAAGTCTTAATATACAACATTATGTCATAATGCTATGCAAAACAACATAGGTTATCAAAACCCTTTATACAATAAGCACTAAAATCTAAAAAAATATTTCTTTTTGTTTTTCTCCTTTTATTAGTATACTAGAGGCCCAGTGCACAAAGTCATGCATGGGTGGTGCCCTGGCCAGTAATTGGGGCCAATGGAGGGGATGGCTGGCCAGGGGGAGGGTCGTGGGGGTGCTGGCTAGGTGGGGGGGAGAGCGTGGGATGCCAGTTAGCCAGAGTAGGGGAGAAGCTGTGCAAGGTTGGCTGTCTGGAAGGAGGGGCCACAGGAGGTTGGCCAGGGGAGGTTGGCTGTGGGAGCACACTGCCCACCAGTGGCCAGCTCCTGCATTGAGTGTCTGCCCCCTGGTGGTCAGTGCACATCATAGAGACTGGTTGACTAGTTGTTCTGGTCATTCTGATCTTTCAGTCATAATAGTCACTTAGGCTTTTTTATATATTATATAAACTAGAGGTTCAGTACACAAAAAACGCAGGGAGGTTCCTTCATCCTGGCATGCGCCCTATTGCAGTTCAGGAGCCCTCGGGAGATGTCCAACTGCCACAGAGGCAGCAGAGGCTTCTGCCAATGTTGCTGTGCTCGCTAGCTGTGAGCCCAGCTTCTGGCTGAGCAGGAGTGCACTCACCACCAGGGGGCAGCTCCTGCATTGAGCATCTGCCCCCTGGTGGTCAGTGCATGTCATAGGACTGGTCGTTCCACTGTTAGGTTGAAACAGGCTCTCTGACATCCCCCCAAGGGGTCCTGAATTTCTAGAGGGCATAGGCCAGGCCAAGGAACCCCACTAGTGCACGATGGATGCCAGGGAAGGATGCAGGAGGTTGGCCAGCCTGGGGAGGGATCACAGAAGAATTTTCAACTTTTTTTCCTTAGTATACTCTTCATATTTATGACCATGAAAAAAATCAGAAAATATTGTTATTTTTCTGCAGAACTCAAACAGCACTTCAAACATATTTCATATGTAGTATAATTTGTTTGATGCTAACACTGTCAAGAGAATTACATTTCTTTACAATTTTATGTGCATATGAGCATGCATGTGTATATTTTACCTTACATGAATTTTTTAAATCCTCACCCAAGGATATGTTTTTATTGATTTTCAAAGAAAGAGGGAGAGAGAGAGAGAAACAATGATGTGAGAGAGAAAATTCAATTGGTTTCCTCCCACAGTAGCAGTGGTTGGTTTTATGTATCTTCTATAATTGATATAATTTTATGTATCTTCTATAACATGTGCCCCAATCAAGGATTAAACCCACAGCCCAGATATGTGCTCTGGTAGGGAATCAAGCTTGCAACCTTTTGGTGCAAGTGACAATGTACATACCAACTGACCCAACCAGCTAAGTTACCTTATCCTACCTTATAAAAGAGTAACATGCAAATCAAACATCATTCTGCTCAAGCCATGCCCACTAACCCATCAGAACGAGTATGCAAATTAACTCCAACCAAAATGGCTGCAGCCACAGAGGGCAGTTAGAGGCTTGGGTTTCCTGGGGAATGGAGGAAGCAAAGCTTTCTGCCTACCCTGGCTGGCCTAGGCCTCCACCCAAGGCTATAAAGTTTCAATTATAGAAGATACATAAAACCAAACAGAAGTGGTGGCAGCCAGAATGAGCAGCCAGTTTGGCTCTGATCCAGGCTACAAAGTTTCAATTGTAGAAGGTAAATAAATTCCAGATATCAGGGCCTCCACTTGGGTTGCCAGGGGCCATGGCTGGCCTGCAAACCACCACAGGCCTCTGGCCCAGGTCACCCCACACCCCAAGGGAACCCCCACCCTGATCTGGGACACCCTTCAGGGTAAACCAGCTGGCCCCCACCCATGCACCAGGCTCTATCATCTCTAATAAAAGTGTAATATGCAGATGGACCATCACTCCAACACACAAGATTGCTGCTCCTGTGTGGTCAAAGATCCTGTGCCTATGTGGACATAAGATGGCCACCACAAGATCACCAGCAGGGGAGAACAGTTGGGAGGCATCAGGCCCACTAGGAAGGGCAGTTGAGAAGGACCAGGTCTTCAAGGGAGGTGATCAACCAAGTAGGGGAGGGCAGTTAGGAGTGGCCAGGCTGGCAGAGGAGGAAAGTTGGGGGCAAGCTGGCTGGCAGGGGAGCAGTTAGACATCAATAAGGCTGGCATGGGAGTGGTTAGCAGGTGATCAGCCTGGCAGGCAGAAGTGGTTAAGGGCAATCAGGAAGGCAGGCAGGTGAGCAGTTGGGAGCCAGCAGTCCTGGATTGTGAGAAGGATGTCCGACTGCCCGTTTAGACCTGATCCCGGTGGGATCAGGCAGTCGACATCCCTCGAGGGGTCCTAGATTAGAGAAGGTGCAGGCTGGGCTGAGGGACACACCCCCACTGTGTGCACAAATTTTGTGCACCGGGCCTCTAATATTAATTTATAAAAAGCTTGAGGTAGGTATTGTTATTATCATCCCATAGTCACAGAAAAGGAGACTGAAAGACAGAGAGATTACAATATGCTAGCTTGTAACTTTGCCAGCTACTTGTTTTATTAATTTTGTGTTTTCTGTGCCAGTTTCACAAAATACATAGAGACTACTGAGTTGTTTTCTAATTTTGTAGATCAATTTCTGTAAGGTTCTAGAAGAACAAGGGTGACGGTTCAGTTAGTTTGACAATTATGTGAATATGTACATGGGCATAAAAGCCTCAGCTGGTACTTTTCTACTGTTCTAAAGGCACTAGGACCAGCAGCTGTCTGTAAGTGATTTTTAACAGACCATACCACAGACATAAACACATCTCTTCAGTTAGGAACATTCTCATGATCTTGATACTCCAGTTTCTTGGCAATTTCTCAACCCCATTAGTAAACGTGTCCCAATCTCACAAGTGAGGTTTGAGATTTATTTTTCAGTTTGTAATAACAAGGGGGAGATAAATAGCTGAGAAGACCACATCTTTGTGTTGTGTGGGACTTCTCAGTCAGCTGCAGTCGCCAACATGTCTTTCGTCCTTCTCTCTGTCCTCTGGCTCATTGTACAAACTGAAGGTAAGTGCTGATATATTGACATTTTATACAAAAGTCAAATTATTTAATGCATTTTTAAAGTACCCTTAAGAAAGTGGCATGCTCATATTATCCAAACATCACTACCTTTTGTATTTTAGTATATTTATTCAATTTACATAAATTGTGCTCATCGTCAAGGTGTTGTGATTGGCGTAATAATTTAATTAGGATGTCTCTGAAATTTTATCTTGTTCCAAGATTCTACAAGTTCTATATTTTGTTTTGTAATAATAGCAGATAATTAACTTCCAGACCAGAATTCAAGAATTTTCTCGTCATCATCCATGTTATCTTAAATAACATTAATATATCTACCCTGTAAAAAGACAGTAATTTACCTAAATAAACAATTTGTTCAAGTGCTGCACTAGGGTTGATGACAAGGAAGACGTATAAGTAAAAATTAGAGTTGTTAGACATAATCACATCAACAAGCAAAATTAAAAACTAATTGACCAACTGACCAATTAGTATTAGAGTTGGGACTAGATATTATTAAAACCCTCTCTAATTTCAATTTCAGAACTCTTTCCATAATAGGATTCATACTCTTTTTTGATAAAGACTGTTAGTAGTATATTTATGCATGCTCTTTTCTTCATGTGTAGTGAATGCTTCTTAGGATAGCATCACAGCAGAATTTTGAGGGTTCATTAGAAGAGATTTTGTGACTTACTGTTTCCTTTCAGGTTGTCCACGTGAGCCAGATATAGAATTGCCTAAAGTCACACTGACTGTCAACATTTGAGTGAGAATTTGTCTCTAACCATTGAAACTTGTCTGTGAAAATAGAAACACTTAAAAACAAAACTGAATTTCTATGGATAATTGAATGAGTAAAGAAAAAAAATGGATAAAGGTGTGCCTGCCACCTGGTATTAAATCATTTTATAAAGTTTATGTTATGTGATATTTATACCAACCTCTACTTTAGGAAAATAAACTGATAGAAATTGAAATAACTTTTACAAGATTACTTACAAGGTCATTTAGTTAGGATTCAAGTTCAAATTTTGGCTCCAACCTGTTATTTTCTTACTATATGCAACTAAAATAGAAAATTCTCTACATAATGTAATTCCAAGTAAATCTAGAACTTTTAGTCTACATAAACTTTTTCTTCTGGCTCTTTATGCTTTAAAATTGTTCCAACTGAGAATAACAAAAACATTATTTCCTATGAAATCTAAAGTCTGAGAGCAAATGCTAATGAAAGACCATAATGGTTTATTGTTGCACTGAGGAATAAAATAACTGTTAGTAGAATGAAGAATTATCTGTCTATAAAATATGTTTAAATATATTTCTTCATTGATTTCGGAAAGGAAGGGAGAGGAAGAGAAAGAAATATCAATAATGAAAGAGAACCATTGATCAGTTGCCTCCAGCACATCCCCTACTGGGGATTGAACCCACAACCCACGCATGTGCCCTTGACCAGAATCTAACCTGGCACCCTTTCGTCCACAGGTCAACACTCTGTCCATTGAGCCAAACCAGCTAGGGATCTATGATATATTTGATTTTTTCGGGGGAGGGAGTTAGTCAGGGTTTGTACTGCAGAGAGCAAAATACATAAAAAGAAATACAGAGACCACTGAGAACATTAAAAGAACAATTCACACAATTTTGTAGAGGACAATAGAGGAAGAAGAAACAATTACTACAGGAAGAATTCCTGGCTCCCATAAATTGTATTCTAATTCAAAACCTGCCCTTTCTGGGCATAGTGGCCCAGAGTTTACACATATTGGGAGATGTCCAAAGCATTGTTCTATCATCATTATTTCTTTTCAGAACCAGGGGTCAGGAAATGGAGAGCAAAAAGAAAAAAAACTTTGTTTTCCAAGTTCCAGTAGTAAGAAAAACTTGTTTTTAATGTTTATTTTCTCAATGAGAATACGGTCGCCCAGGCCATTTTAACAAACCAACCAAGCAAAACCAAAACAAACTCCTTCAGTATTTTATATCACTATTGTCTCTTTTTCGTTAGCAACAGCCATAAGGAAAGTACCTGAATTTGAAGGCTATGAGGTAGTTCGTCCTAAAAAACTGCACATTTTGCACAAAAGAGAAATACAGAACAACCAGACAGAGATACATGGTAAAGAGGTAAGTAATGTAAATGACTGTGGGTTTTACAATCATCTGAAGAGACAAAAAGAGCCTTTTAACTAATAGAAGTGATGTCATAGTTAACATCTCATGGTTTAATCTTCATCCAGGAGAGAACATGGAATTTATTAGAATGCTTTTACAATTAAGCACCAGAAAGAGAGTTAACTGCCTTATTTGATCAGAAAGAATAAAGTTACTTAGGCATTTCTTCAAGTTTCTGGTATGGAGGGAAGGGACAGGAAAAAAGGAGCCCAGGAAAGGCAGCCATTTTTTACACTATTCCTTGCCAAGCTCCTCAAACCCTTTTCCTCCCTTCCTCCCCTTCCCAAATGAATTGCCTTTTCCTTGGCTATTTTGTCTATAATGGATAACTGAACATTATTTTATTAGTAAGATTTTTTAATTGTACTAAGGATGTTTAATTTTTTTACTATTACATTATTGCAAATATTTCCGTCAGTTTATAGTTTTTACTTTATATAACTACTAGAGCTGGGTACATGAATTCATGCACTGGTGGGGTCCCTCAGCCTGGCCTGCACTCTCTCGCAATCTGGGACACCTCAGGGGATGTAGTAGAGCTGGTTTTGGCCCAATCTCCATAGGTCAGGCCAGGGGACCCCACCAGTGCACAGATGGGCCTCTAGTATGATATAAGATCTTTGAATAATCTCTTCTCGCCCTCCCCCCTCCCTCCTTCCCTCTGAGATTCATTAGTCTGTTATATGTTTCCATGCCTGTGGTTTCTGCTCCTGCATTGAGCATCTGCCCCCTGCTGCTCAGTGCATGTCTTAGCTACCGGATGGTCAGCCAGTCACTTAGGCATATATATATATATATATATATATATATATATATACACACACATACATATGCAGGGGAGTTGATTTTCTATAGCATATATGGTTTTATTTTATAGTAATAAAATATGTGCCTTATTATTAACCCATTAGTAATCCATTAGTGACTGTCTACTGTACATGGGGCAAATGATTAGTCCGTATCTCACATTAGTTTAAATTAGATTAGTTTAATCTCTAAGTATCATTACCGTGTCATTGTACTTTTTTGAAATCCATCTAAATACACAATTTACATTACTTTTACATCTTATAAAGGCACAAGAGATATATTACTTTTACACATTATAAAGGCACGAGAGATATGCTTTTGTCTTAAATGCACTTGCAATTACTCTTCTATATGACATATATTATTATATTGTGTTTATTTTAGCTAGACTCAGAAATATAAATTGATATTGTATAATTACATTTTTAAGGAAAAATATGAACCTGAACTTCAGTATCAGATTACATTAAATGGAGAAGTCGTTCTCTACCTACAAAAAACCAAGTAAGTTAATTGTCTCAAAGTTTAATCAGTGATTTGTATTAAGAGAATATGGAAAAATAAATCTTGAGACCTTATTTAGTGTAATTTTAGGTAAAGTTCAGCAAGTACATTGAGTTTTAGATGTTTTAGATGCATTTGTGCTAATGTTATCTCAGATATGTTGATGCTTTCCTAGGAAATTACATGTAAATTGTAAAGCAAAGAGAGCTGCTCATATAAATGACATTCTTCCCTGATTCTTCTTAGAATTTGCAGAAATTCTTTTCTGCCCAGATACACTTTAAACCTTTGATATGACTTTCCATTACTTTTATAAGAATGAATGCCCCACGTTCATTCAGGGCGCACAGCCTTCAGGTTGATCCCAGGGATGGGCCTTCCCAAGTTCTATAGCAGTCAATAAAATTCTCTCAAAGTGCAGCGGTCCTTTGTACATATATGTGTGACCCAGCACCCTTCAGGAATCCTGTGAAGCATCTGTCCTTTGTGCAAAGAATCCCCAAATAACTCATTTTGAGCATAAATAATCTGCAGTCACAAGGCAGCAAAGGCCATTTCTTCCCTCAGATTTAACAGGTACAGTAGCTAATGCTTTGATTTGCATCAGCAGCAGAGTTCCAATGTTGGAAAAAAATCGGTGGCTCAGAATGTCAACACCTTCTCAGTGTAGACATAATTGCTTTAGTGCCAGAAATTAGGTCAGGAGTATTAATTAGCCTTTATTAGCACAGGGAGTGTTTTATGCAACTTTCTGCTCTCTTCAGGCATCTGCTGGGGCCAGACTACACTGAAACTTACTACTCACCCAGAGGAGAGGAAATCACCACAAGCTCTCAGCACATGGTAGGTTTTGAACACTTTCTGGGACTCTTTCTGGATCTGCCACTTATGCTGTAAGATTCATAAGTCCAAGAACAACTTAAAAAAAATGTTTGAAGAACTTGAAAGCAGTTGCTTATCTATCCAATGAGTCAACAGATTTAAAAAGCATAGGCAGCATTTTTAAAAGGTAGAAGAATTAGGAGGCTTCCAAGTGCTGCATTTTTTTGAAGTAAGCAAAAGTCTCTACTTTTTTCCTAAACTGTCTTGTCTGTAGGTTAAAAATAGTTTCCTCTATAGGTTTTAAAATGTCCTGAAACTATTTACTATTTTCTGATGACACATGCATTTATCCTGAAGTCAACAATGGAATATAAATTATTTCATTAATATAGTGTATATCTGGTTAAAGCACCACCCTACAAATTATGCCAAGGCCTAGATGTCAGACATAAATAATCAATGCCGAAGAAAGAACAGAAAAAGATCACAAAAAGGTTACTCGGGGAGTATTACCAAGTTAAGTGAGTTTCTCAGAGCCACCCCCATAGCATCTCCAATGTGTGTATCTCTAAAAAATGCCACGGATAAGACTTCTGCCACAAAATGTCTCTTTCTGTCCTACTCACATGGAAATTCTCATCTCATGTACATCTGCCTGGATTCTTGCTAACACTGACCTCCAAGGAAAGTATCTGATGATAAATTAATTCATATGCAAGTGCATGGCTGATATTTTCACGTGGTACAATCTTCTATGAGAAAGTGTTTATGATAACAAGATTTCTTCCAAAGGAAATGTAAACACTAATGGAATGTCAACCCTGAGAAAAGTCAGTTTATTTTTTAATAGGAGGTTATTCATTGGCTTTCTTAAAATAGTCTACAAAAGTGACCCCTATTTTGCTCAGATGGATCTCACCTGAGCAAAATTTCTAAATTTTTAGTTTTAGAGAAATTCTCAGGGATTTTGATGATACTAAAGAAATTCCACTAATACAGCAATTACTACAGTAAGGGAGAACAATTATTATGAGGGCTCAGGAGGGTCGTGTGGTGTTTTAAGGACCCTAGAATCTAGAAAAACGTGTACCCCATTTTATTGATGTGGTATGTACAGTGTCTTAGGAACTCAGCAAAGGGAGCCAAATTCTCACAAGTTGTCCCTCAACTCTGAGCGTTCTCTGGGAGTGCTGAGGACCCCAGGCCAGCTGGCTACTTCTCGGCTATAGCGTGCACTTTCAGCAGGAGCCCACTCAGGTTCAGCCTTCCTGGACTTTCCTTTAGTGCCAATAGCATCAGAAAGACAGCCCAGTCATTCAATAGGGCTCAGTTCCAGGGTTGGTGGTGGAACAGTTCATAAAACCTCTGAGCTTCCCACTGTGCTTATTTCTTGGAATTGGTCTGGCCACGGTCACTACTCAAAGACCTTTCCTACACATTCAAGATAACAGCTTCCACCACAATTATGACCTATTTATTCTTATAGTTAATTTTTTCCCCTTTTTTCCAACCATAGGAACACTGCTACTATACAGGACACATCCTGAATGATAAGAATTCTGTTGCCAGCATTAGTACTTGTAATGGGTTAAGGTAAGAACTACTCCCCAGAATATTAAACATCAACCATCATTGTATTACACAGGTAAATGTCTTCCTGGATATTGTGTCTGATACTATATTGGTTAAATGCTTCCATCAATAGTATGCTGACTGTATCATCCTTACAATCATTTTATAATCTGCTGATCCAGTAAAAGTTAGTCCTAGCAATATTTAAACATGATGCTATACTATGGACCTTGATGAGATCTGGATCCATTTTCACATTGACCAATCCCACTCCCTGAAGACATTGTTTCATTTTGTCAGAGTCTACTTTGCAATTGTCATGATGACACACACTTTGAAAAAAAAATTGTGTATGTGCGTGTGGTATTTATCCTTATTTAAAAGGTAATTCTTGCCGAAACTAGTTTGGCTCAGCGGATAGAGCATCAGCCTGCCGACTGAAAGGTCCCAGGTTCGATTCTGATCAAGGGCATGTTCCTTGGTTGCTGGCACATCCCCAGTAGGGGGTGTGCAAGAGGCAGCTGATCAATGATTCTCTCTCATCGATGTTTCTAACTCTCTCTTCCTCTCTCTTCCTCTCTGCAAAAAAAAAAAAAAAAATTAAAATAAAAATAAAAAAAATTAAGAATATATATATATTAAAAAAGATAGATAGATAGATAAATAAATAAATAAATGGTAATTCTTACCAATTAGGAAAACTTTGGAAAGTAAGAAAAACCAAATAAGAAAATAACCACCATGGAATGTTACCTCTGTGTGATCACTATTGTTAACATTTTGTCCCATTTTGCAGCTTTTTGTGCATATAGACAGATATACCTCTTATGTGGCTGAAATATGAAATAAAACGCACATAATTGTTCTTCTCACATACCACAACATCAAAGCCTTTTCCCTTATTATAAGATACTTTCACAAATGAAACCTTAAATGGTTATGTAAGCTTTGTAATACTCCATCATATGGATTCAACTTTCTATTTCTGAAAGAATTTTATTACTACAAAGTGGAATTCTTTAAACTACTAGTTCCAAACTGTTCCTTGGGCTAATCTGTTCATCATTCTTTCTCTTCCCTGGGGTTCTTGGTATTTATATACTTCTTTAGTTTATTCTCCCTTGTTTTTCTAAGACATGTCAAGAAATATATGTTAAATGTATGGACAAATTTTACTTTGGTATAGCTTCATCTTAGTAATTATTGTTCACAGTTATCTGAGTAAATAAAACAGGCTCTATTTTAGTATTGAAAAATACTGATTATCTCTTAAATTGGGGGAAAAAAAATAGCCAAAAGCCAATGAATCAGTACTGTGTCTGTGAGTTTGGGATGGAGGGAGAGGTGTTAATCCATTCTGGTCAGTATGTGCAAATGTGGCAGAGAACCCTCAAACAGGAGTCTCTGTTTCACAGGGGATTCTTCACACATCGTGATCAAAGATATATGATCAAGCCCCTGAAAAGCACAGACCAAGAAGAACATGCTGTCCTGACATATAACCAGGAGGAGACAGATCCGGCGAACCACACCTGTGGGATAAAAACTGTTGGCAGAAAACAAGGCCGCATTCGGACCGCTAGGTCACTCAATAGCTCAGAGGTAAATGTAGCTTTCCTATGTCACCATTTCTTTCCGTAGGCTCGGCAATGACGTGTAATAGACTGCTGTGCTCAGCAATGACTGGTACAGGAAAACCTGTGATTTATTTACATATTGATCAATTTAATTTTCCTCTGAAGAAAAAATAAACCTCTTTATAAGCTTCCCAACTTTTAGGGTAAAGATTATTATTAACGATGTTCTTTTACTCTGCGTAAAGGAAGAAAACTTTCTTCGGGCTGAGAAATACATTGATCTCTTTTTGGTGCTGGATCATGCCTTTGTGAGTATGAAATATGTGTGCTTCTTGTCAAGTTAAGCCAACACTTAAGTTTTCTTATCGGCAAACACAAACATATTATTCTGGCTGAAAATGCGGTGCTTGTCCTCCTAATGGTCTTATCTATTCTACCTGTCTTGCCAACAACAGTTTTTGCTCATCCACCCCCTTTAATATTCAAAATAGTCATATATTATAAATATTCTAAATACCAGAATACCTACAGGAGATCAAGCACAGTACTGAAAATATTGAATAGGTTATTAAGTTATTTTTAAATTTTTACTATATTATGTAAATATAACGTAGACCCAAAGTTATATTTTACAAGTTATATTTCTATACTTAAAAAATACCAGAATCAGTGCTTCTAACTAGGTAAGTATTATTTTATAATCAAATTTTAATAAGATTGAATTGGCTTAAAACATTTAAATCATTAATTTGTCTTATTCAATGTAAAAATGGAAGAAACTAAAAGTTTACATCAATGCCTAATTTTTATCTTACCAATAAAATCTTACATTTGAAATACAATTTGTTGAAACACAAAATCTTATGTAAGGTAGGTTATGGAATAAATGGACATTTGTTTGCATCAAAATGTGTAATTTTCCTTAAAATGTGTACATCTATATTTCATCAACTTTCTCACTATAGTTTGAGATTTTAATCATGCTTGATATTTTGTATTTTACAGTATAACCTGTATAAGGGAAATCTAACTTCCATAAGAAGCTTTGTGTTTGGTGTGATGAACCTACTCAATGTGGTAAGATATTTGTCCTGTAAACATGTGACTCCACACTGGGACCTGAGGCTTCCCTATGGTTTTACCAAGTTAAGGAGTTGGGAGGATCACAATGGTTTAAGGTCAGCAGTTTTGAGAAATTTAGCAGCTAAGGATAAATATTAAGGTCAAATCATATATATTGTAGCAAAGGCAACTTTGAGAATTTCATTTTCAAAATGAGTTACATGTATCCATCATTTGTGGTCAGCAAAAAGATCTAAAACATAAAAGATGTCTCAATTTTTTTATGAAAAAAAAATGCTCCTTCCACAGATTTATAACACCATAGATGTTCAAGTGGCCTTGGTAGGCATGGAAATCTGGTCTGATGGTGATAAGATAAAGGTGGCACCCAACGCAGGCGTCACCTTTGACAACTTTCTGAATTGGCACCGCTCTAACTTGGGGAAAATGAGGCCCCATGACCATGCTCAGCTACTCAGGTGAGCATACATGTCCAGGGCCAGGCATATAGTTACCCCAAAGGTTTCTTGGCAGAGTTTACTTGTTGAGATACACAACCCCAACCACTTATCAGAGAGCTTGAAGTTCTACTCTTAGCAATTCACTTGTGAAATTATTAGACCTGTGTGAGATCACTAAAATTGATTCAAGCTTTATAATTCTATGGAATACGTTCTTGGATAAACTAAAGAACTTATATACTTACGGTATATGTATAGCCCATGGACACAGGCAATAGGGTAGTGAAGATCTGGGGTGGGGGTGGGATGGGGATGGGGAGAAGCTGAGAGGAGATGGGTAAAGGGGGAGGGAATGGGAGATATCAGTAATACTATTAACAATAAAAAAATATATATATATATGTATATGTATTTAAAAATAATTTTATGGAATAATATAAGCTTTTCTGGACCCTAGTAAATATAAAAAGGGTAGGGTAACAATGGAAATCTAAAACATAACTGGCAACAGCTAATGGTGCTAAAGACTCAGGTTATGACTGTGTACCTGTAACTTTCATACAGTGGAATTGGCTTCAACAATCGACGTGTCGGGCTGGCAGCCTCGAATTCCATGTGTTCCCCAACTTCGGTTGCTATTATTGAGGTTTGTAAACTTATAGTAAAGCTCTCTGTGGTCTTATATCCTCTCTATGAGAACCAGCATAGTGCCTTTTATAAAGTTGGTACAATGGGCATTTGCTGGGTCAGCAAATAAAGGTAGACATAAAACTACTGATGCACCATGGTCCTTGGATGAAAGAACCGAATATTTCCTTACATTGATTCTTCCAGAAGGCTTAACTCTTCAGTTGGTATTAGGAAGTAAGAGCAGGAAGGTTAGGAGAGAAAGAGAATTCAGGTGTTCTCTGTGGCCGAAAGTATTGATGGCCAGAGAGGTCAGACAAGATGCATGTTGGTGCGATGTGGCCAGCCACTACCAATGTCAATAGCTGGAGGCCTCTGGATACATAGAATGGTGTCTTTTAGTACTTCCTATGAAGAATGTATTAATATAACCAGGGCTTACTGAGAAATTATCATAGCAAATGTTTATTAAGAACTGACTCCGTGGTTGATTCACAGGAACCAACCATTTCAATTGTTTACTCACATTTTACAATGCCCAATGGCAGGAAAAGAAATTTAATGACTATTTTTTTATTTGTCAAACTATCGTTTTATTACTGAACATAGAATCAATTAAGAGCTAACTGGATCAACAAAGAAATAACAGATGTTTGCATGTTTTTAAGGCTAAGAAAAAGAATAATGTGGCTCTTGTCGGAGTGATGTCACATGAGTTGGGTCATGCTCTTGGTATGCCTGATGCTCCATATAAGACTAAGTGTCCGTCTGGGAGTTGTGTAATGAGTCAATATCTGAGGTGAGACTTTGTCACCCTAAAGGAAAAAAATACATGTTTCTTAAATCCTAAAAAATTCAGATTGGTGTATAATTGGATGGGTATATTTTTGTTTTTATTATTTTGTGATTTTGTTTTTGTTTTTTTTGTGTGTGTGTGTTTTTTTTTTTTCCAAAGGGTTATGTATCCCATTAATTCACCCTCAAGCCTCTTGATGCATAAGTTTTACTAGTTATTAGGGCTCATTATTTAAGAATTTTCAAATATACCAAGATAGAGCATAAGTTTGGTGACTATGTTATGTTAATTTTAAATACTATATTTTTAAAAATATGTATCTAATTAAGATGATTAGAATTATCTTCATCAATCAGTCAATCAATTTTTTCTATTATTAATTACCTTCTGGAACCAGATGCTTGCAAGGTCTTGGGGGGAAAAAACAAAGAATAAAACTAATTCCTGAACATAGAACATAGAAGTCTGCAATTACTTCCTTTCCCTATGTTATTGTTATCACTTAGTGCTCAGCGCTCAGTGGCTAAATAAGCTAAAGACAACAAATGGTGAAGCTCCAGCCAATTAGTACAGTACTGAATCCAGGCTGGAATTTAAATTACTTTAGTGTTATAACTGTCTAGAAAAAACAGTTTTCCAACCAGCATAGTAGCATGCTCTGTCACCTCCCCCACGTAACACAGGGCAGGCCTAGACAGAACTAAATTTAGAATTTCCGTTGAGGTGGAAATAGTTTCAGACAAGTCAGGTTCTCACGTTTGTGTATCACAGTATATCATGGTATCCCTGATTGTTTTCTGCTTACAGTTCAAAATTCCCAAAGGATTTCAGTCCATCCTGCCGCTCACATTTTGAAAGATACATTTTATCTCAAAAACCAAAGTGCCTGCTGCAAGCACCAATTCCTAAAAACATAATAACAAGACCAGTGTGTGGGAACCAGCTTCTGGAAATAGGGGAAGAATGCGACTGTGGCTCTCTTCAGGTATGGAAATGTCCATGGTTTCATAAACTTATTAGAGTGATTGTGGCTCACCTGTTTTCCTCCCTTTTCCTTTTCTAAAAAAAAAAAGGGGGAGGGGGGGCAAGAGGGGGTTCATGGAAATTTTTTTCTATAGACAAGCTCGGAATCATAGTAAAAAGATTTGCACTGACTTTAGGGATCTTTTGAAAAGCATTTCAAAAGCCAGGATACGGTTATGACATGATTGTATGAAGTTCAATGCAAAGAGGTAACTCATTAACTATAATGTGTCACTTAGGAGCTTTCCTAAATGTATCAGTCAGGAATCCTGTGCCACGTAGTCCCAGTGGATCATCTGTTGACCCATCTCAGTTCCTCCCCATGGAGAGAGTTGGCTGTCTCTCATGCAGCCAATATGTAAACCCAGAAGTGAATAAAGTGGAAAAAAAAGAAAAAAAGAACAAACTTGTAAAAATGGATTATTAACATTGTGTATCTAAGATAATAGCTCTAGGTCTGCTGATGTCTGTAAAATCTAATCCCTTGGAGGCATCAGTGTATTCTGGGGAATTTTTGATAGGATGTTTGCTAACACTCCATGTGAAGTTTGCAAAAGAGAGCATTCCGGTGGTGTGTTTTTGGTTGTTGTTATGGGTTTTTGTTTGTTTTTTTTAAGCAATCTTTTACTTTTAAGACTAAAATAATGAGTTAATATTTGAAGAGATTTCCTATGTGTCAGTCTACATAATGCTTTTGTATATACTAGCACAACACCTCCTTTATTATTCACAACAAACCTGTTAATCACAGCAAACCTACTAAATAGGTTTTGCTATGATCCCAAATGAGAGAAGAAGCAGTGAGGCTCAGAAAGTCTGAGTAACTAGTTCCAAGGATACAAATCTAATAATCATCCCATTGCAATGCAAGATTTACCCATTGCTTTAAGGGGTCTTATTAAAAAGGGGAAGGCACAAAGTCTCTCTGTGCTTCAGCATATTTAGCCAGAAATGTTAAGCTGTTGAATTGTATTAGGAGATTACATAGAATAACTTAATTATTTATAACAAATATTCCAAATATTTTATTAATTGTAATGAGATATGGAGTGTTAAAGTGATTGCTCCAACTCCCATATAGCTGCTCAAGCAAGACAAGTAAAGTTGTTCATAACCCTAGCTACTTCTAATCCCAGCAGGCAAATGGCATACATAGTATGTATACTTTATATAGTACTCTTAATGGAATAATCCATTTTCCCATGATCTAATGTGCCATTTTTAAAATATATATATTTAAGTGTTTTCTAGGTTTTAAAAGTAGTCATTCTGCCCTAACCGGTTTGGCTCAATGGATAGACTGTCAGCCTGTGGACCTGAAGGTCCCAGGTTCGATTCCAGTCAAGGGCATGCACTTGGTTGTGAGCACATCCCCAGTAGGAGATGTGCAGGAGGCAGCTGATTGATGTTTCTCTCTCATCAATGTTTCTAACTCTCTATCCTTCTTCCCTCCTCTCTGTAAAAAATCAATAAAATACATTTAAAAAATAATAAAATTAATAATGCTATCTGTCTAGATATCATACCACAGACATCATGCTATTTTTAGAATTGTAATACAATGCATTTTAATATCTTTTACAGTAACTCTCTTCATATCTATCATCTCTTTATAATCTATCCATACAGAATTTGTATAGCAATTCTTTAATGTTAGTTTTTCCATATAACTCTGGGTATTCTTTTTGTCAGTTTGCCCACAAATACAACTGAGATTCAGATTGAAATTCATTAAATTCATATTTCACTAAAAGCCACTGGCATTTTCACAATATTAACTATTGTCATAAAAGACAATTTGCCTGGAAAGTTCTTCAGAAAAGTTATATATAAAGTTCTCCATGTAATTCTGACACATTTTAAAGGTTTATTCTGAAGTATTTTCTTTTTGTTGTTATTAGTATGTGTAAAGTTTTTTTTAAATCTTTGGTTCTAATTTATTATGACTTTTTATGTTATTTGGTTATTATTTTAAACAGCTATCTTAGTGACTTAGCCAATATTTTTAGAGTTGAACCTATTTTTTTTTTTCCAGGTCAAGAATTTTATGACATACAAATAGTGAAAATGTGATTTATGTTACAATTATTACACTTTTATATCTTTTTCTTGTCTCATAACTTTTACCACCATTTCCATATAAATGTAGACTACAAATAATCCCTGTCTTATTCTTTATTTTATTAGACATATTTGCTGTATATCAAACAGACTTTCTTCATCATAATGATACACAATTCTGTTCACAGTTTTTTTGTATGTTTAAATAATGCCATAATGGTTACTGAATTTTTACCACCTAGTTTTTTCCATCTATCACAATAACAGTTGTTTTCTTTCTAAGTTTCTTAATGTGATTAATTATGTTACTCTGTTTTGTGCAGTTGAGACACCCTTGCCTATTGGCGAAAAACAAAACAAACAACTACATAGTTGTAATTGAGAGTTATTATATTAATAAAATGATGCTTAACTAATGTTTTATTTAAGTTTTTTTTGCATTTATATCCATAAATGAGAATAGTGTCTGTGTGTTAATTACCAGTTCTCATTATCAGTGTTATGCAATCTTGGTAAAACAAATTGAAGATTGAAAATATTTTTTTTCTCTATCTTCAGTGTTTATAGCATAAAAATATTCTTCCTTGAAGTTTTAAATGAATTTACATGATAACATCCAGGACACATTTATTTGGGGTGATTCTTGAATAGTTCAATTTTTGTCCTTTTAAGAGGTAGTTTCTATCACTCTTAAATTTTTTAATTTTTAATTTTAAGAAATCTTCATTGTTAAAAGTATTACATATGTCCCCTTTTCCTCCCATTGACTCCTACTAGACCAACCCATTACCCCAGACCTTTACCACTTGTACAGCAGAATAATTTAATTTAAAAAGTGAATCGTTATTGCCATCCTGTGCCCGAATTCCTCAGAGGAAAGTGCTGAGCCCACTTTCCACTGTGTGTGCTTTAAAGGAATGCACCGATCCTTCTTGTGAGGCCGTGACCTGCATGCTGAAACCTGCCAATGACGCTGACAATGGAGAAGAGACTCTGATGTAAGACCTTTATTTTCTTTCTTTATTTGTCAAACATTTTCTCACTTTTATTTCGTATGTAAGAAAGATGTGACACTGAGTTCTATAACCTATTAAAACACAATTTTTACAGTTAAAAATGACAGCCTCAAGAAGGAAAAAATAAGCCATCATTATGAACAAAAATAACTAACACACTAATGAGAAAATGGCTATGTTGTCATCTGTGAGATTAGGACTGCTGAAATATGTGCTAAAAATTGCTTACATTTTCGTAAGGTAGTGATGAGTTTAATGTTAGCTAAGGTAAGAGAAGAAACATTCATTTTATTTTATTTTATTTATTAACTTGACCGGGGTGTCATTGGTTAATACAATCATGTAGGTTTCAAGTGTACATTTCTATGATACATGATCCATATGTTGCATTGTGTGTTGATGTCAAAGTCAAACCATCGTTGGTCACCATACATTTGGCCCCCTTTCCTCTGGTAACCACCATACTGCTGTCTGTATCTGTGCATTTCAGTTTTATATCCCACACATGAGTGAAATCATATAATATAGTTCTTCTCAAAGTCAATCATGTTGTCACAAATGGCCGTATTTCATCTTTTCTCATGACTGAATAGTATTCCATAGTATATCTTGTACCACATCTTCTTTTTCCCAACCTCTATCAAAGGACACTTTGGTTATCTCCATGTCTTGGCCACCATGAATAATGCTGCAGTAAACATAGGGGTGCATATATCTTTGTGAATAAACGTTTACAAGTTTTTTGGGTAGGTACCCAGAAGAAGGATTGCTGGGTCCTATTAAAAAGTTCATATAAAAAAAGCCCTAATTGATGAACAAATTTATTCTTGGTTAAGAAATCATAGTTGTAATTTGTGAGGTAGTCAGGAAAGCAAAAAAAAACAAAAAACCCAAAACTAAAAACACATTATAGGATTTTATAATTTTATTTCTTTTTTTAAAAAAGTATCTTATCTTTTTACTAAAATATAGTTGTTATTTATTTTATAACTGGAAGTTTGCACCTTTTATTCCCCTTCTACCAAACGAAACAAACAGAAACATGCTTAATATATACAGATACAAGCTGATGGTTGCCAGAGAGGAGGAAGAGGAGAAAATGACTTGAAAAATATGTTGCTCCTTTTAAAGTGTCTCAAAAAACTGTACTGCACATATTATTTTTGTGCTTTTTACAATCCTGTGTGAGCTGGGTGAGGGAACCCAATTGCTCTGAATAGGATGTGTGTGTTTTTTTCAGTGGAAAAAAAAATCATCTCTAAATCTAAAAATGGTAATAACAACAAAAACCATACATTACAGGGAATAAACTTATTATTCCTACTCCTCTTTCATGAATATTTTCTGTACTTGAAACTAGAGGGAGATTCCAAAAATAATTAAATCAATCTCCATTGACTGACCTTCTCAGGAAAGGACTGGCAGGGGAATAGACAAGAAGCATCACCTCATTATTTACAGAATACTGTGTACCGTGGCTTGCTGAAGCCCTTTTGCGGGCCACTCTGGAAGAAAGGCTAGAAATTGTGCCCATCTTCTAACTCTGTCAAAAAATGGAGCAAAGCATTGCAAAAAATATCATTTTGATTCTTTAGGGGTTTGGGGTGATGGGTGGGCATGTCCCACGGCTGGGCCCAGATCGACAATTTAGTAACTTGCAACAATAATTGAACTTGAATTCAGGAAACTTAAATTCTTTTCTTAGTTCCATCCAACATGAACTGTGGGACTTTCAGCCAAGTTTACTCCTGTAAAATCGACCAAATGATATTGTCTCTCAGTAGGGTTGTTAATATTATTTAAACTCCATACATGTTAAGTATCATGATTACATAATATTTTGTATTTTATACTAACCATGGCTTCCAAACTTTTTATCTTTTAGTCATTGAATGAATTAAAAAATCTACTTGAGATGCTACCTGCCAGGACAAGAGTCAAGAAATCTAAACATACCAGAATTCTTATGTATGTTCACCTTTGCTCTTAGATGTATTTTGCTTTTTATTTGTCATTATCCTTTCTACATTTTTGCCAGTCCAGGTAACAGGGAAATAGAGGTGCTTAAAGAAATTGCCTGTTTCCTAAGACCTAGATTTTAATGCATTTTTAAGGATCATGAAGCTGTTGTTTAGCTTGTCTCTTTGGAAATCAAAAGAAAGTAGCTCTTGAGAAAAATACCTTAAGACATACCAAGAAATTATTCAGAGTCAATCCAGAATTGTAAAAGTACAGGGACCTGTATTTTTTTTTTTAATGTTCTGTTTTTAAAAATACATTTTATTGATTTTTTTACAGAGAGGAAGAGGGAGATAGAGAGTTAGAAACATCAATGAGAGAGAATCATCGATCAGCTGCCTCTTCCACACCCCCTACTGGGGATGTGCCCACAACCAAGGTACATGCCCTGGACCGGAATTGAACCTGGGACCTTTCAGTCAGGAGGCTGACGCTCTTTCCACTGAGCCAAACCAGTTTCTTCCAGGGGACTTGCATTTTAACCCCACTTTCATTTTATTAGTTTATAACCCATGAAAAAAATAACATTGGGAGTTGATGAACGAAACCTTTGGTTCATGTGTCACTTATTATTACTCCTTTGTCTTCTACTTGCCTTGCTCTTAGAAATGTGGTATTTTTCAATATTAATGTAAAGAGCAATTAAATATAAACATTTTTAATTGTAGCATGCATAATCCTTTCCCCATCACAGATAATGTTAATCTTGAAAAGTCTACATTTTTTTTACATTTTAATTCAGCCATCAAGAAATGCTTTGTTCACCTATTGACTTAATAAACCATAATGTCAATGAATAAAAACACAACTTTTTGAAGCTTTCTGTGAGTTAATTTTCTACAATGAATACTTTCAAACTTTGTTGTGGGTTTCCATTAGGTGTTAAATCCTCTAGTAATTAGACATTATTCTCTCTGGTCATTTGCTAGGCGGTCCATCTTGTGTGTGTGTGTGTGTGTGTATGTGTGTGTGTGTGAATCCTCATGATGATATTTTTTCCATTGCTTTTTATGGAGAGTGGAAGGGAGAGATGAAAGGAGAAAGAGAGAGAGGAACACTGATGTGAGAGAGACACATCAACTGGGTGCTCTAGCATGAGCACCAAGTAGGGGTAAGGTGTGGACCCGCAGCCCAGGTACATACCCTTGACTGGAAATCCAACATGCACCACTTTGGAGTGCAGGCCGACTGAGCAACACCCACCAGGGCCTTCCCATCGTCTTTTAATGCTCAAAATGAAATGACTTGAGGCCAATCACACAAGAGACTAGACTTCTCTCTGAGGTTTTTCTCTCTAAATACATTTCAACAGTTATTTTTTTTTTAATTACTGACATTTTCATCCATGCCTGTGCTGGGAGAACAGGGACTTAGACATACTTCTAAAGACTGGGCTTTGAAAGGAGCAGCCTTTCAGAAGGCCCTGGCTGCTGTCTCCCCTTCCATTACCTTGGGGTTATTGGGGGTTTTGGCACTACAAGTGTCAGGATTGGAGCTGAGGTCAGAGCCACTGATAGCTGGCTACAGCCCCAAAGCATGTTTATCTCCCCTGCCCACTGTCTGGTACAAACTTCCAGCCAATCCCTCCAAGGAAAAACACATGTTTCTTTAGGAATATTTCCCTTCTACCTCAAAATTAGGTAGAGGTTTCTTACAGTCAAACTGCCTTAGTGGCAAGGATTATAGCCAGTAGTGTCCTGGAGACAGCTTATACTGGCTGGTTAGTGCCCATTGTTAAATTCTCAGGAATATCATGAGCTGGTTATGAAATACAGCCATTACTAAGAATCAACCTGCAAATATTTATAATTAAACCAGAAGCCTGGTGCACAAAATTCAAGCAAGAGTAGGCCTTCAGAACCACCGCGGAAGCTGCGATTTCTCCCTAATAGTCAGGGCCGCTGCCCCCATCTTGCGGCTACAGCTCTGGCTTCATCCAGAAGGTCATCCAAAAGGACGTCTGGTCAATTTGCATAAAACCTGTCTTAGTCAGAATTATCCAGATAGACAGATTATATTTTTTATTTAAATGATATATATATGAGATACACTGATTGATTATGACAAATTAGCTCAGGTGGTTATGAATGTAACCGGACAAACAGTGGATCCATGCTGCCTATCACTACTCTAGCCAATTAAGCAGAGATGGGGCTGAATCATATATGTGTGTTTATTCCAACATTGCCCACAGTATGGGAGAGGAGCAAGTTAGCCATAAAAATCTGCTCTTCAATCCTTTATTAGCCAGCTGCTTATCCTGTATAATAGAAACCTAATATGCTAAGTGTCAGGTTGTCTGGTCATCTGTTCAACCAATCAAAGCATAATACACTAACAATATGCTAAGGCCACTCAACCGCTCGTTATGATGTACTTTGACCACCAAGGGGCAGACAATTGACCAGTCAACCATTCACTATGATGTGCACTGATCACCAGAGGGCAGATAGTCTGACCAGTAGTTTAGCTCGTTGAGTGAGACAGGCCAGACACACCCAGGAGCTTCCCACAGTCCCTCCCTAGCTGGCCAACCTTCTATGTCCCTCCCCAGCCCTGATCATGCACAGATGGGGTCACCCTACTTGGCCTGCACACTCTTGCAATCCAGGACCCCTCAAAGAGCCAGTTTTGGCCCAATCCTGCTTAACACAGGAGCTGCCCCCTAGTGGTCAGTGCACTCCCACAGGGAGAAGTTGGACATCCCCTCAAAGGTCCCGGACTACCAGAGGGACACCTCCCCCTCTGCCCCCACCTCCCAGCACCAAGTGCATGATTTTTGTGCATCAGGCCTCTAGTATGGTAGAACTACAAAGGAAAAGTAGGCAAAAGGGCAGTTTTCAGATATGCAAAAGGACTAGGGGTCTTCAAAGGGTTTAGTGATATGCAAGGGCTGGAGAAAAAGCCAAAGGGAGTGCCAAATGGACAATTAACAGGTAAGCAGGCTGTAGGTCTGCAAACAGGGCTGGAGATGATGACCAATCAAAGGGCTGGAAATTCTGGTTTCTGCAACATAATTGTTAATCTTTCTATGATAACAGGCAGCTCCTTACAGGGTGGAAGGCTGCATCTCCAGGTCAGCTCCAGCCAGGTTAGAATGTGACTTCTTTAATCAGAATAAACAATTATGGTTAACAGAGCATGATTAATATTTCTTACAATACTAGTTCCCCAACATTCTATCTCTGCCCCCTTTCATGAAGACTAAGAAGTCCCACAATCTGATATTTGCAAACTGGAGACACAAAGAGTTGATGGTATAATTCAGTTCGAAGGCAGGAAACAAGGTGAGATATCCTAGCTCCAGCAGTCAGGCAGGAAGAAAAAAGGATGACTTCCTCTTTCCTCTGTATTTTGTTCTGGTTAGGCCTCAGCCTTCACCAAGGCCTGGAGTGAGATGCCTTCAGGCAGAATGGGGGTGATGTGAATAATGAGGTGAATTTAGGACCCATTAAATGAGGAAAGACATTTAGGCTAATAGCTATTAGACATTTGTTAACATAAAAATATTCAAACCTAAAATATTTTTGTGAGTTTATTTGAGCCAAACCATCACAATTGCTGGGAAGCAGAACCTCAATGGATTGAGACAGCGCTCCAGAAAATGGCGGGTTACATCTATATTTATAAATTGCAATCAAAGGAAGGGAAGTAGATGGGTTGCATGAGATCCATTAGTGATAGGGTAGACAGGCAAGAGGAAGCAAAAGGGGGGGTAAGGGGGAGCCCCTGGGATTGGATAAAATGTAAAATAATAGACACATACTTAGGTGAGTGCAGGAAAAATTAACATGATAACAATGAAGAAATCTGTGGCATCTGTCCTGGTGCCCAGGCACATCAGGTTGTGCCCCAGGGGGTCCAGAAAAAGGGAAGTTACAAGTTACCTAAACATTTCAAGGGTTTGTTATTACCGATGCCAAAAAACAGATAGGCTCAGTTAAGGTAGAGGTTGACCTTGTCAGAGGTTGCCTAGGATGTAACTACACCATAACTGCTTTTAGGTAAAATTTAATTTCAGACCATCCTTTGTGGTGTCTGTAAGTCTTTGAGTTTGCAAAACCGCCATGCAGGACTCCCCTGAGCTTGTCAGGTTGGCATGCGGCCCTTTTCACCCACACACTGTCCTTAGTTCTTGCCATAAGTCATTTTATTTAATTTTCATATGCTCCCTTTAGTTTAGCGATGTTTCCATTTTTCAGATGATAACATTGACATTCAGAAAGAGTTAACCAATGTCACACAACAAGTAAATGGATGCCTGGAGTTTACCTCAGATATGACATTCTCTTTCTGGGACAGTGCACCGAAGTCTTAGCACCTGAACATTATATTTATTCACTGTATATTTTAGAAACCAATAAGAAAAACTAACAGCTAAAATTTTTAATAAGAAAGTTGTCCATATATTTCAATGGTTATAGCATCAAATCATTTTTTCGGTGTTTTGTATAAATTAAAAGAAGATAAAGTAACAGCATGTAAAATATTTTGGTGCAGAGGGTGGGGATTAATTATACTCTCTTCCCAAGAAGAAGCAAACAAGAACATAGATATGAAAAGGACTACATGAACCAAGCAGCTGGAAGGGCTTTAAAATGTTCTTTTGTTTTCTTTTTCTAGAAACCACTTAAGAAAAGTAGGTTACAGTTAATGTTTCTTCCAACCATCTTACTCCCTGAAGTAGGAAAGTGGAGAGAAGTGAGCAGAAGCAATGTGACTAAGCCAGACCCGGCAGTCTCCTCAGTGTTCAAAGGCATCTTGGTCTTTGTTGTGGTTGCATATAGGCTGATTCCTAGGACTCTCTGGAAACTTCATATCATAACAACTGACCCGGAGAAAATAGATCTGACCTGCTCTTAGTGTTGTTTCATAATTAAAAAAAAAAAAATGTGGCTGCTGCCCTGACTGGTTTGGCTCAGTGAATAGAGTGTTGGCCTGCGGAGTTAAGGGTCCCAGGTTTCGATTCTGGTCAAGGCATGTACCCAGTGGGGGAAGGGAGGGTTTGTAGGAGGCATCTGATAGATGTTTCTCTCCCATGGATGTTTCTAACTTTCTATCCCTCTCCCTTCCCCTCTGTAAAAATCAATAAAATATTTTTTAAACGTGGCTGCTTTCTTGGACTAGAAAAAAACTGAAGAAAGAATCTATATGCTTAGAAACTAGGCTAGAAGGAAAGACGGACCTAGTCAAGCCATAGATAACACTGAAAGTTAAGGCCAATATCTTGTGAGGAGGCATGTGCCAATACGTTTCCTCAGAGAATTCCATTCAAACATGGATGCACCTACAAACAGTAAATTGGGAAAACAAGTTGTCCCAGAAGGTTGGAATGAGCAAGGATGCTGAATATAATGGAAGCAGATTCCATTCAGCCACGAGAAGAGAGTAAGAGCCATATGGGACCAGGGGGAGGAGGGTGGTATTACTGATTTTATGGATCAAAATTATTGTGGATGGTGGTGAATGCAGAGGCTCTGAAGTGCAACAGAGGGAGAGCTGAAGAGAATTTGCTAATGTCAGGTAGCGCCATGTGTGGTCGAAGAGGACACAGCAATAAGAGAAGAGCCCTCCAGGAAGGAAGTCATAGAGTATATTTTTTTGGAAAAGAAAGTGAGAAACAGGATTGTGATCATTTTAAGGGAGAGAC